TCGCTTCTCTGATCTTGCCATAGGAATTGCCTTCATTCAGGGTCAAATTCAGATGAGTTTTCATCTGGCCGGACACGGCCCTAAACAGGACAGCAAATTTCATGTCCTGGGACAGCCTTCCACCAAGGCGCTCATACTGCAAGTAGTGTTCTTCCAACTTCAGGATTTGAAGCAGCAAAGAACTCTTCATGTTGAAACTCGGATAGGACATTATGCCCAGAAGCAAGCTCATGGTCCTGTTTCGGGCTTGAGGTTAACAATTCATCAACAGCTGTCTAAGGGCTTCCATGCCATTAAACTTTTCCACATTCTTTATGACTCCTGTCAACCTCCCTTGAACCAAACTCCCCAACAAACTATAGAGAAATCGGCTCCGTTGCTACTCACCCTCATCTAAGAGCTCCCAATTTACCTGTGTTCCAGAGTTGGCCTCAAGCTTCTCTAGCTCCTCCTGAAAAGCACTATAATAGACCTTCTCGTAGTCCAAAGGGCGTCAAACTTCAGGTACTCTCAGGCAGGGATTGCGAGCAAGTGCTACACCAATTTATGGATGGCTCGGGGGGGGGGGGCTCTTACCCAAAGGCCTTTAAAAAAAGAATTCCAGCTAACACCAAAGGGTACCAACCTTCTCAGCTCCGCTACCGCCTCACGTATAAATTTCTGTACATGCTTAACCTAGAATTAAATAGTTTCCTTTTCGCAAAAATAATACAATACCAAATCAATATACATTAAAAGAAATATAAAAAACATCACAAAAATGCAAAAAATTTTAAAGATTTATATTAGAAATTAATATTAAATATTATTTATATTCCTTTAAAATTAATCAATATATTATTAATATTCAATATAAAAATATATTTAAATCGTTACAACACGCGGCCGTAAGCATTTCTAACGATAATATATTCGTTTCGATACCATACATATATTCATTAAATCCAAAAATATATATCGAAAATAAAATATATTATAATATATAATATTTAAATAATTATCTACAAAATAACAAAATCTATTTTTGCCTATATCCTTTCAATTTAAATATATTCAATTAAATTTTCAATATATACATCGTATTACCTCGATTTCATTTAGAAGATCATTTTAAAACATCTAAATAATCCAATATAAATCAAATTAAAACCGACAAATATTACCCTTTAATATTTTTTGTTTATTTCGTATCATCCATCCATCTTTCCTTTCCCCCCTTCAATCTTTCCTTTTTATCCTTTCCTATTTATCCTTCAATCTTCTATCCTTTCTATCCTTCAACCTTTCCTTCTATCCTTCAATCTTTCCCTTCCGTCCTTCAACCGTCTTTCCAATCTTCAACCTTTTCATTCGACCGTTCAATTATTCTATTCTGTTTTTCTACCCTAGAACCTTTCCCAAACCTTTCCGTACTATACTTTACCAATTCTTTTTGATCTTTCTATCCTTCAACCTTCTCTTTCTATCCTTCAACCCTTCCTTTCTTTCCGTCAACCTTTCCTCTCTATCTTTCAAATTTTCCTCTTGCTCATTCAACCGTCCTTTCTATCCTTCAACCTTTTCCTTCTATCATTCAACCGCTTCTTTCTATTTTTCTATCCTTCAACCTTGCCCTTTATCCTTCAACCTTTTCTTTCTATCGTGTAACACTTAATTATATCTATTATATCTTTCTACCCTTGAGCTTTTCCTTTTTATCCTACAACCTTTGCTTTCTATCGTTCGGCCTGTCCATCTTTCAACCTTCCTTTTTACCTTTCAACCTTTCCTTTTCATCCTTGGACCTATTCCCTGTATCTTTGAAGCTTTTCTTGATTAAGAGGAAGGTTAAGAAAAAGTTGTGTGCAAAGGATGGGAGCAGTTGCAGGGGGAGTCCAAAGGAAGAACTGGAAAGATTGAGTGCAGGACTGGGAGACGGAGTCCGAGGCAGGCCAGTGGAGCCAGGGAAGTAATGTGATTCCAGGCCAAAGGCGCAAAATACAAAATAAGCAAAATTCTTTGGGAGAAAGCAGCGCGCATGGTCAGTTGCAAGGGCCCTGAAAGAAAGAGTTTGGGGTAGAGTGACTCCAAGGGGATGCCGCCCGATGGGAAGTTTAAAATGTCCTCTGTTGCGCATAAGGCAAGCATGCGCATAAGGAAGGCATGTGAAACACAATCGTCTTGGACAACTGTGAAGAACATTAGCCCGCTATAAGCATGGAAACGGGAACTGTGTACGGCGACGATGCTGCGTGTCAGCTTGAGCTTTATCATGTGTGTTGGGCTGTGTGCCCTGCATGGTAATGGAAAGCAAGCGCATGCAAGTATGCAGGTAAGTACAACCTAGTAAGTATAAGTGTGGGCAAGCGTTTTGTCTGGGAGAAATGAACCCCCATGCGCGAATCCGCAATGATCGGGAGAATTTGGGAACTGTTGCTGCTGAGTTGACAACTGCAGCAGAGAGAGACTGTGTTTGGGCAGGCCGCGTCAACAGTGTGTCAAACAGCAGCAGGCCTGCGAGTCGGCTAGGTGGATCTGTATGTCGCACTCGGTCTGGTCTCAGGGGAGCAGGATTGCGTAACCGAGGTTAGTAAATCTCGGTAGGTGCTTTGTATAGGGGTTTGAAAGTGACCGCACTCGGGGAATCCCCATATGAAGGAGTCCGGAAATATCTAGAGAATTTGGGCAGACGCTGAGCGTGGAAAAGGGAACTGTGTAGGCCGATGAAAGTTGCGTGGAAGCAATCGTTCCATGGGTGGAAAGCTAGAAGCGTGAGCAGTGAAATACTTCCGTTTTATCACGCCTGTTGGGGGGTGTACCCTTGCATGGAAAGCGGGTGCGTGTAACTATGCAGATAAGCACAACAGTAAGTGTGGGTAAGCATTTCATATGGGAATTCGAAAATGTTCCCATTTCGGGAACGCCCAAATTTTTTGAGAATTTGGGAACTCCTGCTGCTGGGTTGAGAGCTGCATCGCGTTGGGTCTAGGCTCATGGTATGAGAAATTGATAATGACTCCGTTGCTAGCAGCTCGGAAACCACCAAACTTGGGAAAATTCGGAAATGTGGGTCTGTAATTTGTACGTTGGAAAATGACCCCGCTTGGGGAGTCCCCAACTTCTTTGGGGAACTCTCGCTGAGCAGGGAAAAGTGAACTGTGCGTGGCGACATCGCGGCCGCAGGCCTGGAAGTCGGCGAGGTGGAAATGTCTGTAGTGCTTGGTCAAAGCCGCAACAAGCATTGGGACGGAAGTAGCTGAGGCGGCGGCGCAGCCAGGAAGGCATCGGAGCAAGCAGCAAAATGAAATTGTTGCTGTACATGTAAGCGTTGAAATGCTGCGGGAGCATGTAGAAAGGAATTTGGTCGTCAGAAAAGAAAGCCAGCCTTGTAAAAACATGTCTTAGGTACCACGCAAGCCAAACTGTCTGTTCTTTGTGAAGGCCGGGTCCCCTGCCGAAAGAAAGCACAAATGCTGCAAAGAAGTAAAGGAAAAAACGCGGCCCGGAGACATGTTCTCGCAAAGTGGAGCGTTGAGGCAATCTGTCTGCAGGGGCCGTGCCAGGCTCACGAGAGCGCAGCATCAATATGCTGCGTGGCTGGTCAAGCCGTTAACGTAGTCAACGATCTTCATCGAGCAGCACAAGACTCATTGTTTGTTTGCGGCCAGAACAAGGACATGGAAGGATGACCGCTGCGAGCGCAGACTAACGGCCTTGCGCAAACGCTGCGTTATCTAGAGCAGCAGCTGCGCTATCGCATTTGTGGATGTCCCAGAAAACGAAGCAGAAAAGTCGTTTATGAAAGAGGAAAGTTGTCTTCGAGGTAGGTTCCCAAGTTGTCGCGATATCTGGGGATATTTGTTTTTTGGAACTCCACGCAGCCGCACACGAATGTAATCAAGCTTTGTCGTGCTTGTCATGCAATGTAGTGCGTGAGCATTGCCACGCTGATTGAAGTTTCGTCATGCAAAGTAATTAATCTGTCAGCCGTGATGGTGATGTGCTGCAATGTTAGTCTGCTAGATCCTGATCCTCACAATCAGGACTAAGCACTTGCACGCCTCACGAAATACGCTTACCAAATCCAGCAATCGATACAATAACTATACCGTAGACAGTAGGAACGGACGTGCCCAAAAATTAATCCAATAATTTATAAATCAGAAGTAGAAATACAAATCCGCGAATAATTCAAATATGTCGATCGATCTTAAAGATTTTCTCCAAATAATCCAACTGTTTAGAAGCAGAAATACAAATCCACAAATAATCCAATTATGGATAATTTTGAACCTTTTGCCCTAATAATTTCATTCTTTGAAAATGGCCCATTTCGAGATTCCCCACATTTTGTTAAAATTTAGGAAGTCTCGTGGCCGGGATTCCCCAAATAATTCAAACATTTGGTATCATTTGTAGACGTCCCAAAACACGAAGAAGAAAAGTCATTTATGCAAGGGGAAAGTTGTCTTCGAGGTACGTTCCCAAATTGTCGCAATATTTGGGGATTTTTGTTTCTTGGAACTGCGCACAACCGTCAATTCTTTAGCTTGCCGTAATATAAGGAGTATTCATGGTTTTAACTAATTTTCAAAACTTCATTACTATAATATATCATATTGGATAATTAAATCCAATACCATTATTATATCGAATCATATTATTGAAACATATCCCTATAAATACAAGCACATCCTCCAAGCACCAATTGCCTTTTTCCTCGCACCTTAAGTGACACGTGAAAAAAAATACAGAAAATATTGGTCGAATTACATTGAATTGGCACAGAGCTGCATTGCCTCAGCAAAGTAAGAACCAACCATTCAAGAACCAAACTGGGCACTAACCTTTGACCAGGCTTTGTATGGCTTTGCATGACCAGTGCTTGACTCGATACTGCAAGCAAATCAGTGGCGGCCACTGGGAGATTGCAGTGGAAAGTGAGTCCTCGGTGATCAAAGCGTACATGTGCCCCGTCGGACGTTCTGCGTGCCAAAGATGAATCACTTAGCTCAGCTCAATCACCAAGGCAGTGACCGGGATTCGCTGCAGTCGAGATACTCCTCTGCCTTCTTGTCCAAAATGCGTAGCAAAATGTTCTCCTCGCTCTGCAAGCGAGGAAAGTCAGCTCGGCAAATTTGCAGCTAAACTGCTCGGATGATGACCCTCTGAATCGAATCAGACTTTAAAAGCATCCCTGCCCACACTATCCAAACAGCAAGATGTGCACACACAATGTGTCATGAGGACTCTAGCCTTGAAGCCCTTTTGTATAAGAACAAGTACCGGCTCTTTGCTTCACTCTTTCACTTAAATTCCCGAACTTGGCTCCTTCATTCGCTTCTTCTCCTCCATGGTGATGGCTGAACGGGCGTTCTCATTGCCGTTGATCCAGTGATCCGCCCACCTGGCAGACGTCGGCCGATGCGGGTTCCACGGAGATGGATCCGTCAAAGACGTCAACCCTGTGTTTTTGCCAGGTGGTCGACCCCCCGCTTCAGGATCTGAAGGCTGGAATTGCACAAAAACGGGAATTCGAAATTCAGACTCAAACGATACCAAGTCTAGCTTCATGTTCTTGTGATGATGTTCAGAACTGACTTGGTAGTGGTCAACGCATGAAATCAACCTCAGCAGCTTCGGCTCACCTGACTTGGGTAAGAGTCGACTATAACAGAACTCCCTTCCTTCAGGCCCATCGCTTGTTCGGTCTCGTGCGAGACGAGCCAAAACCGGTCCCTCCCGCGACTCGGCCCCGACTTCGTTCGCGGACGGGCCCGCCTGCGATAGTCCGAGTCGATGGACGGTGAAATCCCGGAGATCGCTAAGGTGCTCTGCAGGTCCGGGCTGTGGGCGGTGGTGGGGTCTTTGGTGCCCTCTTTGGGTGGACGTTGCACGTCTTTGGCATCTTCACCTGGTGCAACATCATTGCCCGCATCAACTTAAGGCTTCAGGCTTTGGACAATGGCAAACAAAGACTAAGACGCTTTCAAGATCTGTATATATATATATATATGGGAGTTGATCTAAATTCCTTTATCCGGGATCCGTCGTTTTCGCCAAAAAAATTTACTTTCGCCAAACTTTCGCCTTCCTGCGTTTTATCTTTCGCCGAAGTACGTTGTATTTATGTGTGCCATGTATGTTGTGTTTTGTTCACGTCAATGGCTTCTTCTTTACTGGCAAACACAAAATAGAAACTTCACTGTTTGTCAGCATGTGTCTTCTACTTAACTGTTGACACCCAGTACGTCTCTTTTGTTTCTCCTGGGTGTCAGCAAGAATCAAAATTGCAAGAATCACTGTAGTAGCCGGTCACTCAAACTTACTCATAATGGGCTGGGGGTCAGATGTGGCAGGGTGAACTTTCGCCAATCTTGAGCTGAACTTTCGCCAAACTTTCGCCTTTTGCGGGGTAGAGTTTTGTGGCAAAGCCACCCCCCAAAGCAGGAGCAGGAATAGTAGTAGTAGTAGTAGTAGTAGTAGTAGTAGTAGTAGTGGTAGTGGTAGCGGTAGCGGTAGCGGTAGCGGTAGCGGTAGCGGTCGTGGTAGTGGTCGTGGTCGTGGTCGTGGTCGTGGTGGTGGTAGTGGTAGTCGTAGTCGTAGTCGTAGTAGTAGTAGCAGCCGCAGCAGCAGCAGGTTATCTAACTTCCACAGCTTATCTAGCTTCTGAGTCACTGCCACCAGCTGTTCAGAAAGCAAATGAACATTCATACAAAAGTACATATTTAATCTTTCGCCAGATCTTTCGCCAAAAAAAAATTACATTCGCCAACTCGAGAAAAAACTTTCGCCAAATGAGATTTTGATATGTTCCGGGTCATCGTCATACACCCTGCTGACTAGGACCTTTAGATCGACAACCATATGAGTTTCCAGGACTGTATGTTTCTTTTCGCACCTACAAAGGCCAGCAAGGGTAGGGCATGTTCATCCATTGCGCAGCAGGCCACAAAGTGATGGCGTTCAGACCACACCACATCCATCAATGGCCCTGCCAAACGAACTTGTGGAACTGCTGGCGGCACCAGTTGCTTGCCGTCCTGACCATGACACATTCAGGACACATTCGATCAAATTCTTTGTTAAAACACCGGGGGAGCAATGAATTCACCGCGTGCGATGGCGTCAGCCAACAGTCGACGCGATGGGAGAGCACTCCAAACATCTGCAACACCCAGAAATCATCAGTCGCGCGCTGATCTTAACGTTTGCTCACTCTGACAACAAGCTAGCTAGCCGGCCTCTGAAAGAACAACTTTTAGATGATCCATCAGTCTTTTGATCCCTGATTCTCCTTGTCCCAAAAGAGCAGCTCCCCTGATTCACTGCCACAAACCACATATTGCCCATCCGGTGAGATGGTGCCCCTCACTGCGTAGTTGCCACAGTGGATGCCCAACATCTTCTGCTCCACCTTCAAGACGCCACGCTGTAACGAGACCAAACGGATGACCTCAGCCAACGGCCGGACGCTACGAACGGAGCGATCGGACGCTACTAGCCCGGGGCTCCTGGCCTTACTACGAACGGAACAAGAAGGCTACCCACACGTCGCCCGAAAATGCATCGACCCGCGAATCTTGGAGTGGAAAACTCACCATGGCAAGGGGCTGTCTGACATCCCAATCTTCGGCTGATCAACGCAATGGTGATAAGGGGACCTATACTGCAAAGTCACAGGTTCCTGATTTGGACCTTCCAGCCATACATCAGATGTCTAGATCTGATATCCGAATCCGACTTTTCCAGAAACAACTGAATCTGTCCTGAACGTTTCACCATCGACCAACCATGGACAACACCTCTCCTACCACCAAACCCAACGCCTCCCAAAGCCATGATTCCCCTTCTTCCTCCCTTCTCCACGACATGTTCACCTGCGAAAAGAAACAAGATGCACCAGTATATCTCAGTTTGAACTGTGATGTCTATAACGGCGGAACCATACTACCACAACAAAAACACACGCAACAAAAACATATCATTAAATATCCACCACCTTCAAGTTCTCCCGGCATTGGTTTCGACAGTCTCCTGAGACGATGAGAGACCAGGCCACATGGTCTCGACTGAAGAGCAAAGCCCAATCATCGGCCATGGAGAGCTGCACCGAACTGATCCGCTTCCCTTCCAAGAGCTGCGCAGTCACGATCTCGAGTCCAAAGATCGCCACACCCAACAGTTCGGAACCCGCATAGGTGCGCACGCGACCTGTGTTGTTTTAAAACGAAACAGAGCCTCAACATGGCAGCTCATGTTCAAAATGAACAACATATATAGCCTGAAAACCATTGATGGCAGGTTAATTATTGCTCCAGAAAACATGTTCGGTTGCGTTTTACAACATGTGTTCACACCTCTCAACCATGTCCGAAAACTGTCCAGGCCACTCGCGCTGACCCCGACGGAAGCATCATAGCGGATCTGGAAAAGCATGATGTGCCCGCGGGAGTCCGTGACGTAGACGTTTTCCAAGGAGTTGGTTTGCCTGAAGAATCTTCAATTTGCCAGCAGGTCAAGATTTCAAGATTTCCAAACCCTTGTTGAAGGAAATTCCTGCCAAAGCGTCCTTCGTTTCAGGAATGGGGTCGGATGTACTTCGCGCACCATCATGCATGAGCAAATTTGCTGCGCGCCCACACAACCCGACTGGGACTTGTTGTCTGCAAAAGAACGATGATGAACAGTCACGGGGTTGGTGTAAAACCCGCTGAGGCGACATCACGTCAGGATGATGAATGGCACACACCGTCTGTCTGAGCCACAGTCCGCTGCCAAGGCACGTGGAAAAGCGGACGCAAAGCACATCGGCCTCGACCTCGGCCTTGCGCGGGTAACAGCTCCGAAAGAAAAAACAAACGAGGTGTGGGGCCCACGCCGTCGCCCCGCCGTCATGGTTTGAATTTCATGCGTTTGTACAATGGGGAGTGTGTGAAATCTGGCGATCCGGGTCACGCTGCTGGCTGCTGATAGTGCAGAGCGTGAAGGTTTGAGTGGCTGCTGGCTCTTAGATCCTGAGTGGCTGTGCAGCTGATTGAGACCTCCAAATTGCAGAAGGACCAGAAGGATTAAGGTCTGCGTTCAATACAGGTATGCCAGTCATGACAAGACCAGGCTTGCCACTCAGACTCATCTGATCTCATCTGAGCTCGTTGGACAGAACTGATGCCCGTGAGGATCGAGAGACACCAATAAAAACCGCCGATCTGTTTCGATTTTTTACGAAAAGCTACCAAGCACCAAGGGAACGAGAATTGAGTTTCCTCTAATTAGCTGGAGAGCTAATTGTCTCTTGGAATCCCGGGGTTGGCCACCGATTTCATTGCCGTTTCTTCAGCAATCCTATGCAACCCTAGCCCCTTGACAAGACGGCTCCTTGGCAAAGGCAACATCTTGCCAGAAAACACGTGCGCTGGCCTGTAGCCGAGAAACACGCAGTCACGAACCTCTGTCTTACTTGCGCTGTTCTGAAGCAACGGAGATGGATCCGTGAATCCGAGATCCAGTCCATGGCGATTTTGCATCACGCGTTACGCGCCAAACAGATACAACGACATCCTTTGCAACTTGAAATAACCTGTTCCGCGCCGCCTCACAGCACGCCCCCTGCTGCAGGACTTCGGGCATCCATACCAAATTGAGTCAGGTCTGCACACTCCTTCGCGCTACATGCTGCAAGGATGTGCCCCATCTGTGGCCAAAAGCCAACGCCCGACCAGGCACACCACCACATTGCGAGAGCAATTTCTGCGGACATACTGTTTCCCGCCATGTGCATGGCTGGCTGCCGGCGCCATTTGCCGCAAACATAATCACTTTTTCTGGGTCACGAACAGCAAACGACTTTTCCTTGGTCCATGCAGCGCCGCCGGCCTGATGCAAAACAATAGGCATGAAGATCTAAGCGATGTGCCGTGGGAAGAAACCTTCATGGATGGCCTGTTCCTTAGCCAGGGGGGCCGGTCACTAAAGCCTAGACTAGCTTTTTCATTCTGCATGCCTTCCACCGTTGTGTGAAAATATTCCTGACATGGTTGAGTTGTTGGAACATATTTCCCCTAGATGTACGCAAAAGTTTACGAGACAGCCTTTTTAGCAAGATGTGTGGTCCTTGTTAATTTGGTTTCTTGTTTTTGCATATGTATTTGACATTGAGCCGCCATGGGTTTGGATGGAGCCCACACTTCTCCAAAACTATGGGACAGCGCACGTGTCGGGCGAAGAGTTGTTTGCTGCAGCTTTTGTTTGGAACTGTGGATCACAAAGTTAACAAAACCAATGAGTTGTCCTCGGATGTAGGCTCTTGGAATAATGCAATCACCTCTGGGCCATGGTTGGACCAAAAATCAAAGAAGTGATGGGCGAATGACAAATGACAGGAAAGACGGGGAACTAAATCGGCTGAACAGCTTGTTCAGGCCGACGCTGGTGGAAGTACGATCTACTCCGCTGTGCAGAAACTCGCGGTCTGCTAGCTTTTATGATTTTTAGGCTTTGGAATTCGGGTGCGGGTCACTGAGTTGATCACTCTTAGATCTTCCATTTGGCTACGTCGCAACCATAAGCAACCCAGTAATTGTGCTACTGAAAGCCCCCGACCTGCACCAGCAGCCATTCAACCACTCACGTCTAAGAGCCAGCAGCACTTAGGATTTGTAGCCACTCAGCCACTCAAAATCTTGGGTGGCGGAAGTGGACGTAATATGACGTAATCAGCTCCGTACATTGTGGAGCAAATGACCCTCAGAAGCCATAGTTTCTTTAGAAGATACCTTCGAATCATTGATATGATATGATACGATATGATATGATATATCTCGAAGCAAACCTTCCCTGCCCAAATCCAGTTGCTTAATTATCATTGGATTCGACATTGAATTGGGCTTGATTCTTCCCGACGCAAGTGTTCGTGTTGATTCCACTTTGAATACAGAACCACAATGATTGGCAAGAAAGCAGGAAATAAAAGCGGAATGAAGACACTTGCTTGTAAGTTGTAAGCAAAATGCACCACACTTTCGCAACCAAAGACCAACCTTGGCCTCTCGTCCGTAGCCACCCTTATGGCCCAATTGCACCTGATCACGCCATTCGAACCAGGACTTGAACAGTTTCCTCACGTTTCCTCTATTTGTTCGTCTTGGGCAGGATGGGCGCCCCGCACCGTTCAAAGAAACATAAAGAAACTGCACGTAGGTTACTGGCTACACCAGCCAGGCTACAAGCGTTAAAAACGTCGCAGGAACATGCATGAACATGCAGACCGTCGAGACAACGCACTGACACAAGTAACACACATCAAGACATTATTTAGAGTTATATCAAACTTTGTGTCCCATGAATTTCCCAGGCTACGCCACCTGCTGCATCTGTGGTTCGTGCGCCACCCACAGTGAGCCTTCATGACCAGCAACTGCCTCACACAAAAAAATAACTGAAGGTGGATTCACTGCTCAAAGGCAAGTCGACAGCATTGATATGTCGCCCTTTTGTTTCCTGAGCCTTATGAACGTGCTTTTGGGACCTCACTTGTTCCTCACAGTCACAAATGGCATTGCAAACCAAGGGGCTTTGAACTCTCGAGTCACCTGGTCGCATCGCATCGCTCATCCCTCGAGTTCGCCGGACTCTACAGAGGTTTCAGAGTAGATGGCACTGGCACCCCTATATGTCCTTTAGATGGGGGTTCATATATAAACCACCTCTTGGGGATTCGGATGGTGCCATCTACTCTATGTAGTTTCTTTCGCCTCGACTTCGACAGATCCATGTGGACCGAACTGAGATACATCTACCCACTGCCAAAGGCACTGCGAAAGGCACTGATACACAGACATTCCACGGGACTGCAGATTTACCTTCATTGGGGATTGTTGACCTAGGGTGAATGTACGCATATTCTTCCAGTCCCATGCAATGTCTGGGATATGGTGGTGATGTGTAAGACTTGATAGAACACATGTTCAAACATGCTAGTAGGTTGGAGGCCATCGCTAGTAGGTTGGAGGCGAACAAACATTGACATGAAAAAAAACATTACATGAACAAACAATCAACAAACTTCATGTTTTTTCGTGTTTTTGTTAAATTCCTTTCCCCCAAGGAGATGTCTTCTGTCCGTCAATTGACACACACTAAGACCGCTGACAGCTTTTCCAAACACCGGTTTCCATCCGATCTAACCCGGATCTAACCCGGATCTAACCCGTCCAACCCGTCGCTCCGAGCGTCGCGATCACGCGCGCATGTATCGCGCGCGGACTCATCGCGATGAACGTATGCGCCTGGCAAAGCGTGAGGCCAAAGTGACCACCGCAGAGCAGGATCAAACAGCGGGGGTCCGTGGACATCAACGGATGCGGCCTGCCCGGGACGCTCTGCTCATCGAGGGATCTGGGTCTTCAAAGAAGGGGGTTCAGCGACACTGTCGCCGTGCATTTTGGTTTCGCAGCAAAACGAAAGGCCATGCTTTTGTTTTGGAAACGCCCATGTTCGAACCACTCGAATTGAAACATGGTCAAAAAAGACACAAAGCCTAGGTCATTCTAGGACCCTTAATTGGATACTTTTGAATCGGAAAGGAACCCTTTTGAACGCTCCACGAACACAAAACGTCCCACCAAAACCATTGGGGTTATCCATAGACCATGGGTCCAAGCAAACCGCTGAATCGATGCGGGCTCGCTCGCACCGTGTGGATCGATAGAAAAAGCGCTGTTTCGTTGGATCTTCCAAGCGCCTTTCGACCATCCATGGGACTGGAATAGTTACCTACATTGGGGTCATAAATGGGGTAAATGTAGGCAACTATTTCATACATGTTTGGTTGGATTTTGCATGATTTTGGTCGTAGCTTCATGACCTGAGGCAAGCCTCCCTCCAAAGGCTTTAAGGGTCGTTTTTGGCAATCATATGCCATACTTCACCTCACCTGCTGAGCTAACTATAATGAAACAACATATTCCCACCACCCAAAGAGTCCAAGACTTAGAAGTTGGATGTTGTCAATATGAAACCACATCCGTGGATCCGGGATGATCCGAGCCTTACAGTGTAGACCAAATCAGTGAGATTCACCTCGGAGCTGAATGCATCGCATGCCGCATGCACACCAAGCACGCAGAGCCCCATCAGTCTCATCTGCACACTCATCTCCACATCTAGTTGAAGTTGCTCAGGGATGTGGACTGGTTTTTCAGCTTCAAACATCTTCAAGCACACAACTTTGACCATAAAGAGAAGCAGCAGTTCGTAAATAGGAGGCGAGGTTCCTCCGTGGAGGCGTCGTACGTCTCTGCTTTCACTTGGAAGGAATTGCAGGGTTGGTCGTTTAACGATTCTTTTTACAGTGGTTTCAGAGTAGATGGCACCCCAAGATGTCCTTACTGATGTCCTTTAGATGAGGGTCCACACAAACCAAACTTGACCAAACTTGGGGATTGTGCCATCCACTGTATGATCGTTAGCTTCTATGGTTTTGCCCAACGTTTCTAAAGAATTGCTTTCCAACTCCTAACTTGGATGCATCGGTCTGGCATCATGCTGTCCGCTGTTCAACAGCTCCAGAACAGCGGACGGCACATGGCGTTCCGGGATGGCAGCGATGTTCAATGGCCA